GGGTCATTTATAGAGCAATTTATGCACTTAGAGGCTGCCTTTTGATCCCACTCTGCTGCACTCTCTAGTGAGTTTGTACAGCATTTACAAATACCCGTACTTTAAGAGGATTAACTTTCATAAATGTCTATGATAAACTTATGGTGGATTGCAGGAAGACTATGATGTGCATAAGTCTTTTTTCCTGATTTTTCCACATTACAGAAGGTTACTTTGGTTTTTTCCTGTATGACTCTACTTTCATCCCTGTTTCTGCAGAGCACTCACACATGTGTTTGATTTTAAGCTTTTGAATTACAAGGAAGTCACACATGAGCACCTTTTCAATTATACCTCACAGACCCCTGTGGGACCACCTCTGCCTTTACCTCACATTGTGCTGGGGAGTGGTCCTACCATATTACATGGGATGACTCCAGCACTTTAATGATCTCCTGAATTAAGCCTAAGTGCTCTTCCCTGTAATCCCCTTTATTTTAATCTTTGACACCAGAACACCATCTTTTATTTCACATGGCAAGTTGGCCACATGTGCTTAATTACCTTTCCATTCCTTGTCATCTGCCTAACCTGATTTGCCCATATTTCTCATCCTCTTATATATTGTGTGATCTAGGGGTAAATGAGGACCCTTTTTGTAATGCAGTTTCAGTTCTTCAGATAGCATTGCTTTAGCAAGACTTGAGGAAGAACTGAAATTTGTAAAGTTAGCAGGCATTTTGCTTTTGTAAAACCAACTAAATTTTGGCTGTGAGATTCATTCCATGGGTAGCCTTAGAAAACACATAAATCTTTCATTAGTTTGTTTTCTGCTATTTTTAATACCCTAAATCTGTCACATACACTGTTGACTCAAAACATGTAGCGAGTACCAAGTAATCAAAGACAGCGACAATTTATAATCCTCATGTAGACTGCAATAGGGATAGCTAAAGAGTGTATTTGAAAAGTTGAGGCCAGGAGGGGGTTGGATGTGGCGTGAAAGTTGTTCAGTAGCCATGGTGAGGCAATAACTGTTGAATCCACAAGAGACTAGAGAGGCTTCATTAAAATTTCTTAGTTTATGTGAAGGAATGCAATTTCAAAGTCATTTCATGAATTCAGTTAAAAATGTTAAATTTAAGGCAATAATCATTCCAAAAGGTTTTGTATAAAATATACCAAATTGGTGTATTGAAGTTACATGAATTGAGAGAACATCGAAGTAAAATTGAAAACATCAGCACTGTGTCCAATTAAGAGAATAACTGTTACAGTAAATGTGTGTAATATTTTATTATTTAAATATGAACTTAAATTTAAGATCAGTCCTTTCAATGTGACCATCAGCAGCAGATATTTGTCAAAAGTAAGCTAACACAAGTAACCAAATGGAAATGGAGTATTACCCTCTATAATAGATGATAATTCCCAGTAGGACCACCCTGAATACTCAAGGGAAGATTATCATAGATTTTCCTTTCTTTTTAGCTTCTAGCTCACAGTGCTGTCTAAGCATCATTAGATACAGTTAATAATTTCTTATATTTCAATCTTACAAGAAAGGGTCTGGTTTTATTCACCCATTATTTTAATCGTTACTGCTATATTTTAGGAAACTCATGGATAGGTCACCATTATACAAAATGTTAAAAGAACACATTGACCAAGCAACAAATACCCTTGAATAAATCCTCTCTCTTAGATATCCCAGCATTATAATGATGTTCCTTTTATGTTTCTTTTAAGCTAATCTTCACCTACAGTTGTAAATTCTTGTTAAACGATCATTTTTCTGAAAGCCTTAGCAATTAGTGGAGCTCCCTAGCCATTGCTTTCAGGTTTAAAAGCAAGGCTGTAAAGAAGATTCACAGTGAGGATGCCCAAAATTTAAGTGTTCAAAAGTGTGTATCAGGCAACATCCTCTGCCCACATTAAACAAATATTGTCTATACATTGCTCCATTTGTGTTTCTAGAATGGCACTACTGTAGTATTAAACCCTTATGAGCTACATTGTTTTAGTTAATGCCACCAAGCCAAGGCTTGTTTAATCTCTGGTATATTGCTTGTTCAGCATGTACAAGTAACACTTCACATGGTTGTTTCATGTTCCACATTTTAGGACAGATAGCGTGCAACTGCTGTTAGGAATCTGAGTGCTGGAGATAGTGGCTCTGGAGTTTGGTTATTAAAAATAAAGTAGTGATAATATAGATCCCTGTTGTTCTTGGACTGCTGTACGTGGCTTTCATTGATTGTCAGGTAGACTTGACATTTAGTAAAAGAGGTCATGCTTGATGGTTTTTAGCTAATAAATTGCTAGACACTTTGATTCAGCAGCGATATTTAAGAGAATGAGGAATTCCCAAGTCTTTGATTTAAGAGCGGCATTTCTTAATAATTTGTCTAAACTCCAGGGCTGTGCAATCCCAATACTGACTGAGTTTAAGTCCTGATATTGTAGTTATATGTCACTAGGCATAATAAAAATATTAAAATTCAATTAATGTGGGAAGAAAACATCCTGCTTTAAACCAACTTGTTAGCACTAACAGTGACCTCAGTAGATGAATTATTGTGGACATTAAAAGATGGAAGTAACTACTGTCATCTTCAATAAGTAGAGATAAGTCTCAACAGTAGACTGCAGAAATAAAGCTGTCATGAACTTCACATAGATTAGAATGCATCCACACGGTCCTTGAAGAATGATCGCTGACAGAAAGCTGACATCTGAGAATCCCGTGCTTACCAGACTTGTTATTCAGTCCTTTCATTGTGTCAATCTGATAGTGAAATGTTTCTTGTCTTTGCAAGACTTCTTTGCCTAAAGAAGCAGAGAAAATTTCAGAAGAAGCATGCACCTCATATCGGTTGTCTTCTGAAGGAAATTCTATGTGCTTAAGTACAAGATTTATGAGTGACTTAAAATAAAAATATGTAATATTCCCGAAGTACGTGCTGTGGGCATACAGTATCCTGTTTTCCTCAGCAAGGGTTCAGGCCTTCCTCTATCTGAAGGCCAGTGCTAAATAAAGTCTAGTCTTCACAGTGATAATCAGAGAAATTATTGTACTTACTTTTTGAACTGGATTAGTTAAACTGCCTTGAACTATGAGTGGATGCTCATTCAGAATCAAAATAGCCTTTATTCAGTGTAGCCTATTTAACTTTCAAAATAACTAAACCAAATTGAATTAAAACTATTTCAATTCAGGAAAGTGTATCTACACATAGGTTCAGTGTCATTTTACCTATGTATGCTGAATTCACAGCTTAAATTCAGAATTAGTTTACCTTAAAGGCAGGAGAATATAAACAGGAGTAGGCTGGGGAGATTTTGCTAGCTGGTGGTGAACGCTGAACCCTCCCATCTTAGATGTTCAAAGAACCTTTGGCTTCCTCAACAAAACATGGACAAACGATACTTTTTTTTTTCTTTTCTTTCTTTTTTTTCCCTTTTTCTGAGATCTCTCTAACAATCAAAGCACATCATTGAAAATAAAATACATCAGACATAGCATCCCCAAGTTTCTGTACTACCTTCCCTGGTATAACTTCACGTAGCAGGCACATTTATTATTGAAGAAGTTCATTAAATCTATGCCTTCTTAAGCAAGAGAAGGTTCGTAAGGAAAGGGAACATTCTGTATCAGACAAACTGGTACATATGGGGAAAATAAAGGCAAGCAAGAAGTGAGAAAACTAATTGTAAACAACCGGTACTGATGCTGAATGGAAAGAGTTCTGTGCCACTTAGGAGCAGCATGTGGTTTGTGTACCTCAATCACTTGGGCACTTTGGGAAAAAACTCAAAATGGCTGTTGTACTTGTTTGAGTAAAGCCAAATTGCTACTGTTTTGTATTCTGCCCATCACTAATTTATATTAATATTCTTCATCCATTTAAGAGGAAAAGATGTGCCTGAAAAGTTATTTGTGTCCTTGAATGTAATTGACTGTGAGTGTTCCATAATTTACAATAATACAGGATACTGTTCATGTCTCTCAGGATATTTTCTCACCAGCCAGTCAAGATTTTTTAACTCCGAGCTGCTTGGAATGATACCATTAATCTAACTAGGTGACTGCAATATGCTGGGTAATCCTGCGTGATGAAGAGCTGCTGCAGTCCTTTGAGATGGGCGGCAAGAGCGTTTTGTACACAGTAACAGAGTGTCTGGAAAGGAGTAGTAATGATACAGCTGAGAAGCAGCAGGTGTGAAGAATAGCTTTTCTAAAACACAGGCTTAGTCAGAGCTCTGCAGATGCAGTTGTCAGATCTTTTATATTTCCGCATTAAAATTCTGTGATTTGGTGAAGGATTCACTATGGCTTTTGGGCCTTTACCGGTACAGCAAAAACAGAGAAGAAACTGGTTGCAAGCTGTCTGTAAGACTGGGGTAGCATTTCCAAACCCAGAATATCCTACACAAAAAAAATGTATGCCGTCAGTCCATCGTTTTGTCCATGAAGGAAGGCAAAGAGTATGGAGTCTGTGTCAGGGAAGTATGTGTCTACTGTCATAGTTACCTGGTCACAGGTACCACTGCCCTCACATAAATCCTTCCTGTAGACTGGTGGGCTTATGTTGTAAATGTGTAGCATGTCCTTGTTTACATATAGGGAAAGTAAAAGTGGTAAAAATCCCAGTTTATCCCAATGTATGAGAGTTTATTCTTTTGAGGCTACCAAACTGGCTGATCTCTGTGACCTCATTGGTCACAATGAATTTGGTCTAAAGGCCGTGTTCCTTTTGACTTTAGTAAGAAGCAACATGTGAGCAGAGCTTGTTCATGTAAAGGAAGGCTCTAGGATCAGAACTTCAGAGGCAAGCTCCTTTGTCAAAGGGGGAAACCTCACCACATTTACATGAAAAGGAATTTTGCCAGGCTTTCATGTGGTGCCCTTAATGTAACTCAAAATGCCATATGAGTAATATGTTGGAAACCACATCATTGTCGTGTTTTGTTGATCTGGGATTATTAATAATGTCTTCATTCCACATTATTTATTTCAGATCACCAGATTAGCTCTGATGTTAACTTGTCAGATGTCAGGGGAGCATCAGAAAAAAGAGACCTCAGTTTTAAAACGGAGGTACTTTCTGAAACATTAGGAACTAACGAGCAGTCGATATTGGTGCTTCCAGGAAGAATATCCTGTGAGGTAAGGTTTTTGGATGCTAAAATCTTTGGGATAACCATCAATGTTCTTGTAGTCCTGC